GGTGATGTGAGAGAAGTGATTCCCTCCTGTTTCAAGATCACTTGGAGTGAATTTGTGTTTTGAACAGAGAATATGAGTGGTACTGTCTTATGGAGAAGCAGATGACTTTATTGCAGCTGTGGAAAGTACAGTAGGCAGTGCGACATCATGTTAGTTCATAAGTTTTCTGACAAGCCACTCATGTTTGTTAAATCATGATTTGAAATGGAATAACATGGAATTATATAATTTGTACTAAAAAATCATTACCTTTTTCATTTTTTCAGTCTTACTTTTTTTTTGCAGTCTGCAGGTATTTCTGATTTCAGTAAAATATTGTTGAAGTGAATTATCTAAATAAATGTGGTGTATGCCCATTGCTCAAGTATTTCCACAGATAACAGCTTTTTTACAGAAGAGTGAGTGCCTAGTCTTGTGCATGCTGCCCATTGAAAGTGATCAGTGTTTGGCACCTATGGCCTACTGATAGTTTGACCAACTTGTAAGTAGGCACAGTGCCATCTTAGCAGATGGGTATGAATATAAACAGCCAAGAAACCATGTATGTGTGTCTAGTGTATTTGTTAAGGGCAGAGTTCTCAGCTGGGGACATTCAAGCTTATGTCCATTTTGAATTTTTGCTTTTATGGATAAAGAGATGTCATCGTTAATTTTTTTTGATTAACTACCTTCAGCCATATAATTATTGACCACATTAAACAAGGGGGAAAAACAAAAACAAAAAAAAAAGAGGGAGATACCAGCTCATTTTTTAACTCTCCAGTGGAGCTATTTTAAGTAAACTTAATTCCCTTTTAAGCAAATCTATGATTAGCAGACTGACCATGAATGGCAAAGATGTGAAATGTATCTATGGTTTTGTTTCGCTGGCTTGCTATTTTTTTTGAGAAAGCAGATACAAATTTTACTTTTCTTATTTGCTGCTCTACAGGCATGTCTTTGACTTAAGACAAAGCTCAGTTGGCTAATTATATTGCATCCTCTGGACTTTTTTTTACAGCATTGCACACCCAAAATGCCCACGCAAGTTGCATGCTATTGTAGCACCAGAGCTCAATTAATGTTACAAAGCTCTATCAAGATTAGAGAAGAGGATAAGGTGAAATTATTTAAAAACAAAACTGATTTCAGTTGCTATCCCTGTCACACTAATATGCTTGCAAGCACCAGTGTACCAGTCCGAGGGATCTGCCCAGATTTAAGCACCTGAGTGCATCTGTCCAAGTGGTCTGACCAGGATTATTTGTAGTGATACAGAGGTCAAGGGGTGCGGTCTGTCAGGTCTTCGTCATGTCTCTTGCATTGCTTATAGCTTGGGGACCATATGCTTGTTTTATATTCAGGCTCATTTTTGTAACCTTTAGAAGCTGATGGTGATTATGATCTTTTGTGCCTTTGTCCTGTCCATCAGACAACAATGAAGATTTTTACACTGTCTTGAATGCAAAGTCAGTCTTGGGACTCCAGACTTGTTTGTCTTCCTACCATCACCATCTGTAGTGGCTTCAGTCTATCTGTTGTTTTAGTCCGTCCTCCCTTTCCAGATCTGGGTATCCTGAGAAGCTACTTACAGGTGTGTTGTGATCTTGATGCCCTGCTACTCTAAGTGATATCACCACAATGCCATTCCTACAGTGCTCTGTTCCTTCTAGTGCTTTCATGTCATTATGAGCCTGTTGGTACCATCTGAGCTGAACTTGCTGAATTGTGTTTGGTACTTGGAAATCTCATTTCTTTCCTATTAAAAGTTTGATGGAAAAACATTCCTCTAAGATAGTGCAGTATATTTCAGCTGAAAACAAAAAAGACACAAAAGTGTAAAGAGGAGTTTCCTGAAGACAGAATGAAAGCTATGGGAAAAGTTAGCCTTTTTAAGTGTAGAATGTCAAAACTGTATCTTGATTCAAACATTTTATTTTTTGAGAATAAGGAAGCTTGTTCCATGTAGTTTTTGATAAATACTATTTGTTTCTTGTAATGTGCATATTTCGTAATATTTTTTGTTGGAATTATTCATTTAGCCACCATGAGTATTCAGGTGTTCTATGACTTAAAGATACTTCTCATATTAACAAGGACCTTGAAAAACAGACCTTTTCTTTGGCATGGGATGTAATGCCTCCTCTTTGTTTATTCCTGTGGTGAGTGACCATGGTGTTCTGGCTGCAGGCTCATGTAGCAGAGGACAGAAAAAGATTTCTGAGATACTTAACAGCTACTATTGTATTTAGTATACATAGAGAAACTAGTGTGTGCTGCTCTTTTCAGATGTTAGTTAGATGAGAGATATTATTTGAGAAATAGGAATTCTTGAAGGTACCACTCAAACGGGGTCTGTGGGGAGAGAGTATTTTCGGAAATGCTGTTATCATAATTGTATGACTTTCTATTTGTCTGGGAAATTAAGAAAGTCCTAGAAGAACATTAGAACTAAAAGAAAACTGGCATTACGTAACTGCATTTGACTTAGAGTTATTCTATTGAATAGCTAGACTAATGGAGGAAAAAAAGATATTTTGCTATTCAGAAGCTTCCTCAAATGTGTATTGTTAATATTCCTTCCCTCTTTCCCAAGAAAAACAGCCAACCTCACCCCCACCAACCCCAACACACCTGTCAGACCAAATACTCTTTAGAAAGTAACTTTCAACTTCATAAGGAAAAGATCAGCTCTTTGTGAAAACAAGTTATGAAGTTCTTCGTGTGCGGGGATCTAGTGTACTCTTTACCATGTCATGGCCAAATATTCAGCAAGTTCTTTTATTGAATCAAAATCTAGCTCTTATTCCAGGGGTATGAAAAAAATAAGAAAGAAATTTATTTAATCAGAATGTGGTCTGTTCTGGAGAGAGACGTGCATGTTTGGTTCTGGTGAGCCCTTATATTTCCAAAAACAGTGTTGATATAGGATCTGAGGAGATTGGGAGGTTGGCATGAATAATACTTTCACGACCTCTTTCATGACCTCAGAATGGGTGATTATGCACAGGTGTGTTAATGATCTACTAAATGCTGTCCAGAGAACAATAAGCAGACTTTCAGTTTTGTTGGTTGCAGTTGTATAAGGGGAGAAAATTAATTAATAGTATGAATAATTTAATATTTTTCTGATATTATGACAGCTAAGAGAAATCACTGAGAAATGTTGAGATTGCTTTCTCTTTTTTAATATAACCATTAATACCTATGTTTATTTTTATTTAAGCCTTGGACTATATGAAATTTCAAAACTAAGTAAATTTAATTCCAAGAAAAGTGATGAGCCTTATTTCATTAGTTTACTTTTTAAGTCTAGAACTATGATTGGTTGGCATTGATTGATTGCAACAGATTTTATGATTTTTCTAACATGTATTATAAGAAGACTTACAAGACTTAAAATTTGCTCTCAGAATTTTTTCTTATACCTGAAAAAATTACTCATTTTTCACGTAGAATTCATGCCAATGAAATGACTTATGGTATTTCTTTTAAAGTTTAGTAACAACTTAAAACTTAAACAATCCATACTTTATGTGGAAATTCGTCGTAAGTAAAAGCAAGCATAAAATACTGGCATATGGAATAGCATGAAAATAATTCTACTCACCATGTAATCTATGCTTTTTTTTTTTTTTTTTTAATTCCCCCAGCCCCAAGTGAAAATGCCATATATGAAGAAGACTTCTGGAAAAAGAGCTCCTGCAAAGAGGAAACTTGCTGAAGAGTTTGCTGTAGGAGAGGTTATAGCAGATACAACCAAAAAAGAATGGAAATTAGGTGTTTCTATAGGGCAAGGAGGCTTTGGACGCCTGTATCTTGGTAAGTTTGGTTGTTGTCCATAATATTTTAAAATGGAGAGGGAATTGCTTGTCCTTGTTCAAAACAATGAAAGATTGAGCCAAAGTTATAAAGGCAGAGTGTCTTCAATTGTTCTGTTTGATTAGAATTACAGCTTCATTCACTTTCTTGGAAAAAGTTGAGCGGAGTGGGCAAGTGGTCGTTGAAGACACTCATTGCGTGAGGTTGCAGTTATCAATATGCTATTTCAGAGTGATAGTTCATTTTTCTTAATGATTTCAGTTAAGTCTTCATGTTTTGCAAACCATACTCTTTCTTTGTAATATTTTTAAATGTTCATAGACAGATTTTATAATTCATATATTCTTGCATAATTGCTTTAACTTCTCAATCATGCATTTCTAAAGTAAATTGTGAAAGAAGTCTGATATTGAGAGCAACAGGATTGAAATGTCCCCATGTCTCTGGGACCCCTTGTGCACAGTGAAATGATAGTTCGGTGTTTATTTAAATTTCTTCTTTGGTCTTGCTGAAAGAGGGAATGTTTGTGTGAATATCGTTACCTCTCAAATTCTGAACTGAAACTGTCGAAACATATTTTGTGCAGGCTATTGATCAGCCATCAAAAAACAGCTGTTGACTTCTGTGCTGCTTTTGACTCTTTCATTGCCTTCTGAACTTCTGACATAAGTTATTAAACTTTGTTACGCAACCAATATTCAGAACAGATTGAAATTTTGGACCTTACTGTTTAAAGCATCAGCACAGGTCTTGCTTTGTGAAGTTGTGTATCAAATTCATGGAAAACTTCTTTTAATGCATAATTTTCCATACTTAAAATCAGTAGAGCTGTTTTTGAACCAATGAACAAAGAAGAAAGTCCTTGAGAATACCTCAGGGAATCCAAAAGACTTCCTGCTTTAACCCTCGTAATTTTCCAAAGAACTTTGAAGGGATGAAATTTAAGGTAACCATGTTAATAAGGGTGTTTTTGCAACATGTTTGTTTTTTTTTTTTTTGCTCCACTGGATGAGAGTGTTCCATGGAATTCATATTGTTTTTAAAAAATCATCCATCCTGCTTTCAAAATAAACAGACTGCAGTGTAAGTAGGTTAAGAACCATTTTGAAGAAAGACCGGACTAGTGGGCTGCTGCTTGCCAAAGAGTCCCTGTACTACTTGCTGATTCTTGCTCACTGAGCTTCTAAATTTACTGAGACTGTAGTTCCAGTTGCATAGTTCCTCATGTTGAGAATTTGTGCTTTGTGCAAGCCAAAGCTTGCCCTCTCTCAGATTGCTTACCCATCATTTGCACAAAGCCATGCCCCTGGCTCCTTCCATACTTGGTACTTGCCTAACTTGATGTCGTCTGTACTTGTAGCTCCTTCTGTGGCAGCCATCAGCAGGCTTAGTACCAACAGAAAGTCACTTTTGGCAAAGTAGTAGAGAGGATCTCTTTTTCTTCGTATCCACAACTGCGTACGTTCATCACAGTCAGAAGTTTTATTATCTAGAAAAGAGATATTGAATAATAGAAGGGAACTCCTTTATTTAGTGAACTACCTGTTCTTCTCAAACAGAAGGGAGAATGTGAGACCATGTCAATATAGTCTTGCAATATAGAATATTTCTCTTATCAAGGTCTCACATACTGATATACGTGCTCGTATCAGTGCTTAATTACTCTATTATTTGGTAGTCCATGCTGCAGCGCAAGTAAGTTTGTTTTGTGATAGCTTCCTTTCGTACTACTAATAAACACTTCCTTTTTAACAGCTGATGTTAATTCTTCGAAGTCGGTTGGCAGTGATGCGCCTTATGTTGTAAAAGTGGTAAGAGAACATTTGAATATTTATTTCAGAATTTGAAAATGTTTATTCTAGAATAGTGTGGGTTTTAAGGCATCCTTTCACTAGAAATAGTGCAATTACATAGTGCATATTTTGTCAAAGTGTGCTCTGTTTAAGTCTATACATGAGAATGAGTATAGTGATGCACATTGTGGAATGGTGGAATGGTGGTGGTGTTGAAAAAGGTTGAAACTACTGAGAATTGGGACCTTGATAGACGAAGGTGAATGATGGAATGGTGGTGGTGTTGAAAAAGGTTCATAAAATGGTTCAGGTTCTGTTTCCATTTGCTGTTTGCTGTAAACAACTCAAGTATCACAAAATGAATGAAATCTAGATAGTTTTTGGAGAATTTCTGTGATTCAACAGTGAGTCTGTGCGAAGTGTTTGCCACTGGATGTTGGTAAGCTAACGGATGGCTTGGTAGTTGCAATAGCAAAACTTTGGTTCCCAAGGTCCTCACAGATATGAAGTCATTTAAATGTTTTACCGTAAAACACACAAGTACTTCTAATTTCTATTGAATAAAAATGGTATTGACGTGCAATTTTTTTGACCTAATGATTAGATAGAAGAAAAGGCCTCGTTGATGACTCTTTTTCTAGCCGACTGCAGTAAAGCAGTAAGATTTTTTTATTAGTTGAAAATAAATTATGTTTTAAATCTTACAAGTTAACTTGATTTTGGCAACATTTTATTTTTCTAAGGTAAATGTATAAAATTATTTTTCTTAAATTTTGAATGATTATTTCAGATAGATCCTGGTATTATATGTGGTTTCCTGGTAAAAATCTACCAAAAAAAACCCCCCCCCCCCCCCCCCCAAGAAAAAAGAATAACAGTAGTAAAGCCAGACTATTAATTATCTTAATACTTTTCTAGTCCCATGAGAAACGCAGGTACCAGAAATTTTACAAGCACTTCAGAATGTGAATATTTAATTCTATGCAGTTCAGAAGCACCATGGTTTCATCTTTTGTTTATAAAGCAATACTGAAATGCATTGCCGTAATAGTTTGTTGCTTATGTAGATATGTTGATACTCTTAACCTTCCCCCCCCCCCCCCCCCACACAAAAACTATTTATTTTTGGTGGAAAAAAAATTTTCTTAATATGAGTCTTTAATCTTGATATTTAGAACTGCTGGTTACAGGAGAATTCTAGAATAGTATTTTTGATACCGCTTCAAGAGCACAAAAAACTCTTTTGGAAATGTTGTCTCTTGCTGAAAAAACACTGCTTATGGTACAAGTGTCGAACTACCACACTTTCAGCATCGCCATGCTGCTGCTTTAGGTGTGTGTGGGCAGCTATTCTACCGAGGTCAGGAGCCTCAACCTGCAGCTTTTGTGTGGTGGCAATGTCCAACTTGCCCTTTCTGAGGCAGGGGGTGTCTGTTCCTGCAGGAACTGTTTCCTCTGTTAGCAGCAAATAACAGATATTCAGGTTATCAGCAGTGCTTTGCCTCTGAGAGGCGGTGGCTCCTGAGTGCCTGGCTCCTGCTTGAGTTTAAACTGACCAGGAAGCAGAACCCTTTGACTTTCATGGAAGAATCCAACTTAACTTCTTTGGAATCTTGTCAGATATGCATTATTTTACTGCTGTGCGCAGTTGCCATCCTCCTTTTTCCTCCAGGTTCAAGCAGGTTCTTCTCCAGTTCATCTGCTTCTCCCTTCCACTTTGGGCTCTGATTATAAGAATTGTCACAACATCTTTTGAATTGTTTTTATGCGAGGTTCACTTTATCGTAACAATTTGTAAATACCCCCATTGCAAATCCCTCATGACTACTCACTTTTGATTTGTCTTTTATAATTTTGTGTTTATGGTAATAAAGTGTAGCCCAGTTGTTGTGCTGCCCTCACAAATGACCCATAATGTTCTATGCCTCTGCAGCCTAGCATAATGCAGCTACTAATAAGGGCCTATTTTCTGATGCTCTGGGTGATTCCTAGTTGATCCATCAGCTGAAGAAAAGTGGCTAACAGCCTCGAACAATTATTAGGGTTTAACAAAATATGTGCTTGTATCATAACGTTCTTCAAATTAAGCTATTAAAGTGGGATGGAAATTGGCTTAGTCTTTGACGTATCCTTGTTCTACTGGTGTCTAAGCAGAATGAAATGAACCACAGTTTTTATTAATAAACAGATGTTTTTTAACATGTGAACCTTTCAGGTGTCATTGGGCAGCAGTGGATACAGAGTTTAATAATACTTTGTTAAATTGCTGACTGAAAAAGATCAGAATTCTTTAAAATATTACTTGAAGAAGTTAGTTGAGTTTTGACATGTACTCCATAATCTCTTTCATTATGATCTGTCTTCTAATTAGACTTTAATTTCAATTTTGCAAACCACGAGTGTGTTTAGAATGGCTCTGGGCATAAAGCTGTGGAAAATTGAGTTTGAAGTCTTTCTGTTTTTAGTGTATTATAAGGTTGCTAGTATGGCAAATATTGGACATCATTACATGAGCTTTTTTTAACATAGCACGTGCATTCATTTATCTGTATGTAGTATTAACGGTATTATGGGGAAACAGCTCCATAGTCATTGCTGAGTTCAATTTTGTGTTTAAATCAGCTATCCGGCCCTTCAAATATGAAAAGATACCGGATTTTCAACCTTTGCTCTGACCAGAGAAAGATTTTTTTTTTTTTCAGTACATAGAAATAATGTTTTTGGATAACATAATTAAAAAAGGATACTTTAAGATCTTTAGCGCCTGCACTTTTTTGCTAAGTTTTAGTAGCAGAATAACATTCTTCACATCTGTGTAAACTGAATCAAAATCATGTGTGTAACTTTCATCCTAATTAATTTAGAGCTTTAATTGATTATGCTACACAGAAACAAATGAGTACATCAGGTAACTTAGGTGTAGGATACCTGCAGTATAAGATTTCACTTTCTCCTCTGTGCATGTAATCTATATATGACTAGTCTTGTTACCCTGGTGGATCAATAAAATAACTGAAAGTTGTTATGCATGTACCAAAGTTTCTGGGCAAAGATCAGTTGGTGTAGTGTTTGTGTGTGGGTTTTTTTTTTTTTTTTTTTTTAAATCTTCATGGCTTAATACTGGTCTGAACAAATACAGCGGTCTGTTCCACAGAGGAGCCAGAAAACTGTAGGCTCCAATGTCTTTCAGGGCAATATTGTTGGGGAAAGTGAGGCGAATACGGTTGTAACATTCTACTGCAATGTCTAGGCCTGTGATTGGTGCCTAAGCTGGTATGCGGTCTTATTCTGACTGGTTTTCCTACTCTGCTTCTCAGCCAATAAATCAGGTACACATTAAGGACCACAGTTATCTGTGGGCTTGACCTCTTTGCATTGATTCATTAATGTCAGACAGCAGTAAACCCATATTAACTGAGCAGTGTATTTTGGCATTTAACAATTTTCTGGATCGCTGCATCTGCATTTAAAAGTTACAATTAAAATGGTTTAAGATTACACATCTTGAAACTTTTGCTAATACATGAGTACATTCTCTCTGGGTTTTTTTTTTTTTTTTTTACCAGTAGTAACATACCTGTATTTTGTTTGGTTTTTAAACCCTAGGATATTCCAAAACAGGTATTTCCATTGAAATGGAATGAGTTTGAACATATATAAGTAACTATAGCGTAAAATAAATTGCTGAAACTTATCTCGGAATCAGTTACTTCAAAATTGAAAAATTGACAGTTGAAATCACAACTTTAAGGGTTTTTTTCTGCACAGACTTCTGGAAGTGTACAGTTAAGGCACTCACTCACTAGCAGTTCTTGTAGTATTGCAAAGCTTTGATGTTTTCACATATTTTACTTGTAATATATAGTTACCGCAGATTTGTCCCTAGGAAATGGAATCAAAGTATCTTATGTTAGCTTTAACACAAGGTAGATGCTTAAGTCAAAATAGATACAGTTTTTGTAATTCAGCTTGTTAAGAGAAATTTTGAAATCCTCTGCAATTCTTGCCTTGATCAACTAACGTATGAAGAGGAAAAAATATCATATGTTCATCAAGAATTTAACTTTCGTTAACATTTTTCCATCAAATGATTTCAGATGTTATTTTGGGGTTACTAAAATCTACTAGAGTTGGTGCAGTTCAGCTTTAACTTGGAAAATTCAACATGATTAATGTTATTTAATATTCTCTGCAAAACTACTTCTGCCACTTATTGGTAATATTTCTGTATGCTTCAGTTAATTCGTTATTCTTTGGTCTTTTGTTATGAGAAAGAATTTTTTGATACCCTTAGTGCTGAGCAATTTATTATAAAATAACTACTTGGTCATCTTTATTTTGTAAAGAGAACGTACTGTAATGAAGTATCAGCACTGAGTAAAGAGAGAATATATAGAGAATATATAGTGAACATTACATTTTGTGAACCTTTAATAATTATTAGTTACTAACACAGCACTTTTTAACTAATTTTAAATTGTCTTGAAGGAACCCAGCCAGAATGGACCTCTTTTTACTGAGTTAAAGTTCTACATGCGAGCTGCTAAGCCAGATGAAAGTAAGCAGTCTATTAAAATGTTTTTAACGAACTACAGCGTCTAGGAAAGTAAAGCCTACAGGGGTAAAGTGGCTCTTTAAAAGGAATCCTTTTAGATCATTTTTGAAAGTATTTTTAAATGATGAAAATTTAATTCAGACGTGTAGTAAAATCAGGATTTTTTTTGTAAGATGTTCTTTATAACTGTGTTACTGGTATTATATAAATTGACACTTTTAGCTGTATCTCTGTCCCTGTAAAGGATGTGTGTCACCTGCTTACCACTATAGCTCACATACTACTTTCTGTAAAATGATAATTAGCCTACATGCGTGCAGGAACTCGAAGTAATATGAGTACTGCCTTTTATGTAAGTCTCTACTGATATGAATTCATGAACTTACCTTTATTTGTATTTTTAGTTCAGAAGTGGACTAAGTCCCGTAAACTGAAATATTTAGGTGTCCCAAGATATTGGGGTTCTGGCTTGCATGAAAAAAGTGGAAACAGGTAAATGAATCTGTTGTTGGCACATACTGGGATTTATTCCATCCACAACTGCTATCCCTTTTAACCAAATTTAGTTTATAAGATACATTTTCCAGCTATCTGCATGTTGTTCATTTTTATATTGCAAAATTTCATGTTCATAATAGTGTATGTATAAGGAATAGATAAATTCTATCTATATTCTGTTTGTTGCTCATATTTGTGTCTTATATTCTTACTGATTGAGTTTTCATTTGTCTCAAACATCGCCATAATACAGTAACTCTACATATTGGTGATTTAGATGCTCTTCGTTCCTGATTTAAAATAAAGTCCACTTTTAACGTAGTTGTCTTTGACTAATATGACTACCTTTTAAGTTTTTTCCTTTTTATTTATTCTAGCACGGTGTGCAGTTAAGAGTATTTTAACTCATGAATATAAAGGATTTAGTGCTCTCTCTACACCTGTTTGATTTTCTCTAGGGATAGTTTTTTGACTTAATCTGTGAGCTAGAATAATTGCTGCTACTCACGTTACATTTATCTTAAGTTTAGGGATGATTTTTAGTATTGTTTGATATCATGAAGGGTTTTTGTTACTTAATTTTGAACAGTATACATGTTTATGTAGCAGTCCTGGTTTCGTAGTGGACTTTGTATAGCTATGCTGTAAAGAAATTTTACTACTCAAGCAGTTTAGACTAGGACAGGCTTTTTGTATGGGCCATTGAATAGGGCAGTTGGAATGCAATGGCCCAATAGTTCCTCAGTTTGAAACTAATCTGATGTGAAAACAATATTAATTCTGAGAGGCAAAAGTAAACATAAGAAAAAAATGAAGTTTTTTCCAAGTAAGCTTTTCGTCGTATTTGTCGTTTAAAGTACGAGACTCTTAACGCTAATAGAGCTGCTGTGAGCTCTTATACCAATAGAACCAATTTGACTGTAGCAGTGAATATCAAAACACCTTTGGCAAGTGAGTTTTTCGTTTTTCTTTTCTTTCTTTTTTCTTTTTTTTAATAAGTTGAAAGAAAGGTTACAGATCAGAGAAACCAACTTTTAAAAGTGACCATATTGATGTATTCAATCATTTGTAAAGCCAAGAATGTATTTCTGTGAGTTATTGACACTTGTTTTTTCCTGTAGTGAATTATAACACAGGTATTTTCCCATATGGATACTTGCTTTTGTATCGCTTAACTAGCGAGGCATAAAGAGCAGTTCTTTTTGAGAGACAAACTTTTGACGAGCTGATGTAAACGAAATAAGTTAGAGTCGAAGTACAGTATAAAGAATGTCAGGTATATCCCATATAATTATTTCCTCCGTACCTGAAGTTTGTCTGTTGAGAGAGATCTTTTCTTCTGTAGTTCATGTAATGAACGTATAGATAAAAAAAAACTTTGCTAAGTACAAGTCAGTAACTTTTTGTTGTTTCTCTTTGTGAAATTAGCTATCGATTTATGATAATGGACAGGTTTGGGAGAGATCTTCAGAAAATATATGAAGAGAATGCAAAACGATTTGCCCACAAAACTGTACTGCAGTTAGGCCTGAGAATAGTAAGTTTAAAAAGGAATTTTACGATCTGGCTTCTTTTTGTTAAATGTCCCTTTAGCCTTTCTGTTAAATCACACTTTTGTGCTGAATACAGGTCATCTGCTGGTTGGAGTTGGGTACTGCACTGATATGACTATATTTTGTTTTATTAGCTTGATATTCTGGAATATATCCATGAGCACGAATATGTGCACGGAGACATCAAGGCCTCAAATCTTCTTCTGAGTTACAAGAACCCTAATCAGGTATTTCTAATGCATTTTTTTCCTCATGTTTTAAGCCTTTGTTTGACAGCACATGGAAGTGCTTTGAACCTGTGAAATCTAGCAGAAGCTCATTTTAGAAAATGTATGTAGTAACATTATTTCTGCTTGACATTTATATCTAGTTAATATTCTACTTTTTTATGCAATTTGTTGGACAGTTTATCAAATTGACTGTTTGCCCTAAATAATATTCTAGAGAAATTCTCATGATTTAAAAAGAAAAAAAAATTGACTCTCAGATAGATATTTGCAGGTGGAAGCTTAAAATTGTATAGTACACAGCAAATTATGTTTGCCTGTCTGCATTGTTACTTCATTCCTTTGTTCAAGAAATCCATCAGATAACTGTTCTGCTACTTGGAAAAATTGGTCTTTAAAGTGTTGATTGTTCCGCTTGATTTGTAGAAGTCTTTCATTTTTCTGCATTTTTAACTCTTTTTACTATTCAGAAAACACATATTAGAATTCCAAATTGTGTATATCTTCTTATCCAAACGTGTTAGCTTATTAAATGAGTAAAATAATGTCAGTTCCTCTAAAGTAACTGTGCTGTTAGTGAGGAGTAATAATAGGTGTGTTCATTTTACAACACTGTTTATAAGTCTAGTGTTCAAACAGGACAGCTGAATTCAAGGAAGGTAGGCCAGTAAGTATATTTATAATTGTATATGAACGTTGAATCTTTTTAGTGTATGTAATCTTACTGGTAATAACTGAATATTTTGCTGTACTTGACCCCTGCATCAGCAAGAAATGATTTCCAGAACAGCCTGCTCTGTGGAAAATGACAAAAGCTATCTAACATGTTGTTTTCAAATTGTATGCAGTAATCACAATAAAACATTGAGAAAGGATCATTTAAGTTGAAAAAGTGACAATTTATAATTCTTTTTAAGAAGTTATGTGAACAGTTGAGAGTTATTTCTATTTGTATATTTTTGTATTTGTAGTTCTTTAATCTTTGAATTCTGTGTGGGAATTATTAGGTGTACTTGGTGGATTATGGACTTGCCTACCGATACTGTCCCGAAGGAGTTCACAAAGTGTATAAAGAGGATCCTAAAAGGTGTCATGATGGAACTATTGAATATACCAGTATTGATGCACACAGTGGTGTGGGTAAGGATCCAAAAACTTTTGTTCTCAGTGACAGGCATTTGTATAGCCTTTTAAAAATAAATTTAGAAGGTTTACTTGCTGTACTGTGTTTGTAAACAACTAAGTTTCTGAATTTGCAGTAATATCTCTCTTCTTCCTCTACGTGACCTATCCTGGCATTTGTTTTTTTTCCCCTACATTTACTAGCTTTTGCTTTGGTATTAATTTACTGTATTTTTTAGTGCAACTTTTTTGCATAGATTTCCTTAATTAATAAAGACTGTGTAAGCTGTTTAGTGTATTGCCTTTTATTGTCTTAAGTAGAAATGGAATATTGCTTCTGAAGTCTTGACAGAAAAACAGGCTCTGCTTTTAGGGGATAAATAGTTCCCATTATCAACCTGAAGATTGTTTCTTTGTGGCAAAGATGTACAATATACTTCATTTTGTTTATAAATTAGTTTTTAGATGATGTTTTAACAAAAAATTATTTTGTAATTGTGCCTCTAGTCACTGAACGTTGAAAAGCAAGAAGTGAGAAAATGCTGAACATGAGAATGACTTGACCATGTCTGAATGAACATAGAGGATTTGTAGTGAACATCAGTTTTATTTTCTTCATTTTAAAATTTTATTTAATTAGCAGAAAAATGTAAAAGCCTGTCTTGCAAAAATGTCAGTGTTGAAAATTGATTTTTACTACTAAAGTATTTAGTAAATAAAGTATTACTACTTTACTGAAGTGTTGCACCTATCCTATGCTTAAAACTGACTGAATGAAGATTGCTTGATAAGCCCGCTTATCCCTTTGAAGCGTGATCTGCGGTCAATATCTAAATGAGGTCTATTTGGCCAGACTTAGGGATGTGATATTTTACTGTGCTCTACTTGGCTTTCAGGCCACATGAAATATTTCAGTTTTGCAGAATAATTATTTTGGGAACTGGGGCTTCAGCACTACTACCTTTTTTTATAGAAGAGGGGAAGTAAAAGCTGTTTTAAACAGAAATTCAATCACTTCACTATCCTGCTCCGTTTTTTTCCTGATCCAACTACTTAAAAAGCTTCACAAATTGGGATAACTGCAGCATGTCATGTTCTTGAGTAGAAAAAAGAGATTGATAAAGGACTTGAAAAGTAAGTTCCACATGTAGGAGCAATATTTTTCCCTTCCTTGCTTTCACACTTAAAAGAAACAAACAAAAAAAGAGTCAAGAGATTCAGGAGTCTTACATTGTCAGCATTGGCTTTCTACTCTCTTCCCACATTTGCAAGTTTTAACAGTTGTTAAAATATGGGTTTTTTTCAGCTATTCTTAAAGTTCTTGGTTTTTTTTATGTATGTATGTGTATTTAGCTCCATCAAGACGTGGTGATCTGGAGATTTTGGGTTATTGTATGATTCATTGGCTTAGTGGCCATCTACCATGGGAGGATAATTTGAAAGATCCAAACTTTGTCAAAGACTCAAAAATCAGGTGAGAAACTTCTTGTTTTCTTTGTCCTTTGAAATCAAAAATAGGAATGGAAATGTCTCGATGTATCAGGGTTTTGTACTTTTAATAAATTCCCTTTTGGTGAGTAGGGTATCATAGTGTGTTCCTCCTCAATTTCCCTTCATCATGCCGCATGCATTTTTGGCTTATAATTAAGCTTTGTTTAGTTGTATTGTTCCAAATTTTCCTCTAGCTGTCATCTTTTTGGATATGTGAGATGGTTATTTATGCCACAGTGCTGTTATTTTAGAATACCACCATGGTAATACTTTACAGCAGTCTTATCAGTGTGGAGATAACCATTAGTCCTGTACAGAAAGAGAAACAGTAGGATAGATTCTGAGTAACCTTTGTAGGATTATGCCCTGAAGTCTGTGGCAGAGGGCAGAGCTAAAGTTGGATCTCCAAATTCTTTGACCGCTGCCCCAGCTAGAGGGCTACTAATGTGAGTTTTGGGGTTTTTGTTTTTTTTGTTCCTCTCCCTAACCCTCAAACCTTTCTTTTCAGATACCCAATATCAAGAAAACTGTCCGTGTGTATCAGTTTGTCTCATTCACACATATTTGTTAATCTGGTTTCCTTCTCTCTACTTCTAACTCTTCTGCCTCCATCAGTAAGCAGAGCTTACTTTTCCCTTTGTAGTTACTGATTTGGCACGGAAGCTGCTCTGAGTAGTATCAGTTTGAGAAAGAGTCCTCTAGCAGGAAGAGATGAGGGCACTGGTATGTGAAAGTTTTAAATGGAACAGTTCTTTTCCTTCAGGCTTCTACTTTCTTGCTTTTATAAGAATGGAAAACTGCTGGAACAAAAGCTTATCCTGTTTCAGATAACCTGTCTGGCACTCATCAGGTTCTGAAAGGCACTGCGCTTATAAAAATGCACTCATACTTAGTCATACTGAAGGCTCGTCTACCAGGTTTTTCTGCTTCTGGTCGTGTCCCAAGCCACATTCTTAGGAAGTGTGTCAGAAGAGTTGGTATTCAAAACTTGAAAGAAATAATAGTTTTGAATAATTTTGTTTTTCAGATGTAGAGATAATATTTCAGATTTGATGGACAAATGTTTTCCAGGGAAAAATAAACCAGGTAAGAAGAGCTATTTTAAAATAGTAATACTTTAAATTGTATACCACTTGGTAAACATTCTTAAATCATTTTTGTTTTATTTTATATATGCATATGCACACAGACACATACATACATACATATAGGTACATATATGTACATACATATATGTATGTATGTATAAAAAGCTCCTATGTGCCTCTTTGGGTGCTATCACCACGTTGTAGAACACTTTAGAGGTTGGGTAGAAGCTTTGAAGTTCCAGTTTATATGGGGCAAATTGAGTGTATGCAGAGGAGGACTATGTTACTTTGAATTCAAATAGAAACGGATAAATTCAGTTGCTGCAGAAGGTATGAAGTTTCAGATTATCAGAAACTTTTCCTGAGACGTGTGTGTCAGGAATGGTATTCTCTCTGTTGCTTCTTTAAATCTCCGTTGGTTACTGGAGTTTGCACCTTTTTTTTTCTTTTTACTTTTCTTGGCAAAAACAAAGCGGCACTGATTCGGTTTTTGAGTAGTAATAGCTTAGAGTCTTTTCCTTTTGGCTGTAGCTATTTGAACTGTAGTGTGTCTGTTGCCTCTGACTAGAAGACAGAATTGCATATTTGCAAACATGAAATGTGTAAGTCGATTTTCACAGCTGAATTCTAGAAATTTAAAATATGAAGTAATGCAAACTTGAATTCTAGACGATTGTTTGTATTTGGCATTGGTGATTTGTTGGGAATATAAACTTAAATATTTTGTTATTTCCAGCTACTTCTGGTGGTTAAAGGATTTTCTCTGTTGAGTACTGCTTGCGTGGTTTTACAATGTTCAAATTTGTTTTCTTCGTTTTATTTTTATATATATATTTTTTCTTTATGTAACTGATGAAGTGCTTGGATTATACTGAGTTTCCTTTTCAACATTTTAAAATATAGGTGTAAGAAATACTGTGTAAATAAGCATTCATTGGTGAAGATTGCTCTATTACTTTTTTTATGATCGACTATTTTCTTTGTTACAATAACTGTATAAGAAACATAAATTTATAAGATGCTGTCGTCATGGTAATGAACCTTGGTATAATTTTTTTCCGTAAAATATGTTATGACGAAATCATAATTATGAGTTTATAAATAATCATTTCAAAAAATAGTATAAGTAGTGCATGCATACTTTCTGACTCTTTTATGGTAAAAGCTAACGATTAAAATGTTTTCAGACAGAAATTAATTAGAGGTACCATTTCCTTAGATGAAATAGCCAGATATATGGAAAAGGTGAAGCTACTGAGCTATGAAGAGAAACCTGTATATCAGCATTTTCGAGAAATACTTCTGCAAGGCCTCAGGGCCATTGGGCAAAGAGATGACGGACTACTTGACTTTGGCTTGTCAGAGAATGGAGACTTGCAAACAAAGCCAGTGCAAAAGGTTTGTATTTTAAAATTTTATGTCAGCTTTTAATGCATTTTTGGAGTAAGTAAAAGAATTAAAGTGATATCAGAAGTAGGTGTCAGAGCTGCATCAAATAGGAAATAAGCAAATAGCCAAATGTTTATTTGTTTAAGTCCTACTCATATACGTTATTTCTGTGATTTTAACTTCACGAATTGTTATGAAAGCTTAATATAGAATGATGCTTGTAGGTGTACTTTCATAATAAATAATGAATTGTACCTTTGGTAACAGAATACATATTTAGTTGTAATGACATTTCAGCAGATGAACATTCAGTTAATTTACTTATCTTTCTCAAAATTTTAAAATTCTCCAGATGGGTCAAAATACATGTAAGGAAAAATAAGTCTAGTTATTTCTTACTGATTTCCTTTCCATGATTACTTCAAAGTTTGTTCTTAAATGCACATCTTTATGCCAAGTGTTTGGTACTGAAGTTCCATATTGAATTCACAGTGATCTAGTATGTTGTTTATGAATCTTAATTTTAGTGATAGAAGTATTTTATTTTTTGTATGTAAGAAGCCTTTAAATTCTAAATTGGGTTGCACATTTGAATGCAGCGTGAGAACTTTTTTTGTTAGGGAAATAGTATGTTAAAATGTTTTATAACAACAAAAATGGAGAAAGAGGGAAACGATAAATATTATCCTGCACTTCTAAGGGCATTTATTTGGGCATTTATTTGGGTTTGATTACAAGTGGGCAGCCTCTTAGTTTCTCTAGCATAAACTAGGAAGCTGAGAATTATAATATAGGATGATAGTACAAGAATTCTGTCTGCCTTAGATCAGCTGTATGTTAAAGATGGGCAAAAAACACAAAACAAACAAAAATTGTAAGACCTTAAAATCTTCTACATATATGCTCTAGTTTTGCTCAGTTCTTTTTGACCACGAAACAGTACTCTGACTAAAACTGTATGCCCGTGGTCTTTATATTAATATTTTCTGCTCAATCAGTCCAAAAGGAGAGTTCACTAGCAAAAATTCTTCTCTTCCCCTCCCCTGTGGATCTACATGGCTTGAGACTTGTGTTTTAGAGAAATCTGTTTTTAATGGTTGGCTGGCTTCTTTGCTGAATAACTTGGCCTGCTGCAGAGCCAACATCTGTGACCTTTTATGTCCTTGTCCAGCAGAGATGCCTAGTGCACATTGCCAATGGAATAAAACTTCAAAAATCTTACTACTTTAGCTCCTTTCAGTCAAAACCATCCCCAAAGGGTGAGATAATCCTTCTCCATAGGTTCTTATGTGTTAACATCAATTAGGACCTTTTACGCTGAGTTTTTTATGTTTTCACTTGAGGCACCACATGAGTGGTCAACTTGGTCGGTTGTCACAAATATATTTAAGCACTTAAATAAAATAATAGGTGTTACTGACCCTTTTGAATAATTATTTCCAGCAGTCCACTTCAAACTGCAGTGGTACTTCATGCTAGCTGTGGCTAAAGAATAAGATTGCTTGAAATCGGGTTGACATAGTCTGTTTGCTTTTGACAAAATACTAGGTCAGAAGACTCTTGCTTCAGTGCTGCATTTTCTAGGCCTAGTAACAGCTGTTACTGTAGGCTAGGGTAGAAGAATAAATTGAATCATTCCTCCTTCCAGGGTTGTATCTTGAACTTCTCCTCAAGAATAAGTAGAATGAGGGTCCTCACCAACAAGTCCTTTGTCCCAAAATGTGTATTTGGGAACCAGTGTCCTCAACCAGGATGCTGTTAGGTTTTCCTTCCAGAGGAAAGGTTATCACCATTAGTGAGAAGCTAAGAGAATTGGAAAGCAAGATTTGTGTTAGCTGGAGGTCATGAGAGAGCTGGACTAGAAAATAGCTGGGCATTTAGACTCACAGAGGAAGAAAGTATTATGCTAATTAAAAATGTATATATTTTCTGCTGTGACAGGAAGGTTGACTTGATGACTTAGTATTTTAAAAGTAAGCTCCAAGTTCCAAACGTTGTTGGAAACTGCTTTCGGTAGATAGAATGTGCCACTGATCAGTAGCATCTTACCTCTGAAAGCCAGTATCCTTTAGCACATGCTGCATTCTTTTGGCATGCTTAATGTCTAATATGGGAAAGAAAAATGCAGCCTGGCATTCACCCTTGAGAAAATGCTGACCTCTGGGATAGAGGATTTATGGCATTTCTTCTGTACTGATCTTTTAATCATGACAGTTCTTAAGACACCTGCCCTTATATTCCTTTGGGGCAATCTACCGTAACGCTCACCTTTCTTAAAACAGTGTTATTCAGTGTTCTGAAGCTATACTGTTTAATAACTAGAAGAGCTTATTTTTGACTCCTGTTTAAATAAATTATTAGAATGTAGGATTCTCTGGTGCACTTAGCTCGTATAGCTAATTGAGCCATGACGTGCACTATATGTTGCATATAAGCATGACGGTTGTGGAATCTCAATCACTCTCCAGTATTGGTATCTGGCTCAAATTGACAAATGCTTGCTATGTTAAAAATTAGCATTTTATTCTCTGTATCATGACTCAAGTTTCCCCTGATGTTTAAATAAATGAAATAGAGTCCAAAAATTCAGCTAGAGTTTTTCATTTCTGTATAATGCTTGCATGTTGGTGTGTGTGTGTGTGGTATTTTATAACAGTTCTAGCAAGAACAAGAAGCTGACAATATCTTGCGTTAAAGGCAGTATTTGGAAATCTTGACTAAATTATTTAGAGTAAGAACCACATCTTTCTTTCTTTCTTTTTTTCTCTTAAGTGCTGAGTACACTAACATCACTTACTAGTTGCTGGGAAATATTGGGAGTAAACTAAACTGGAGAAATATGGATTTTAGTGATTTGTAGTTCCTTCTAATGTTCCGCTTCAGATGCGCAGGTGTTGCTTTTGTCAGATGAATGCTGCCTGATTCCTATTGCTATGTAATTCACCTGCAGCAAGATTAAGAAACCACTTTTTATTAAATAAGCTTGGAAACAAGATAAATGTATTTTGCTTTTGTGTAGCATGTATTGGATATCTGTTTTTATGATAAGCATTTGAAATCTTTTCTAGGACAATTGGGAGGAATGCATTATCTCTCATATAAAAGCAGTACAGTGCTGAAATAGTCCTCCTTAATTTTGGTCAGAATGAACAAAAGTGTCTGTGTTTATTCCTGCCTAATGCATCACAAATCTGCTGACATGCTAACCTTGGAGTCTTGGCTGGCGGTAATCAGGCCTGTGCACCGGCAGGAAAGATGTACCTAATGCACTCCATCAGTGCAGTTTGCATATGGAAGTTCTCACAGGGGAGCTGCCCTGTGCCAGCTGAGGGTTACCTGCCCACTGCAGTTATTGTATGTAATTATCGAACCAATCTGTTCAGCCCAGCAGGGTTTAGATGGTAATCATGAAGCAACACTTTGGAAAAGAAAGATGTAATGCACTCTCCCCTTCTCTCGTGAGCTATGTGAAGTTGTAACCGTTTTTAAAGCTGTGTTAGTAAAGCGGTGCAGTCTTACACAATTTAAAAAAATTGAAAAAAAAAAGGTAAACTCTTCCAGCGTTCATCAGTTATCCTCCGTGTCCCTGATACAGATATAGGACAACTCATCCTTTGCAAAAGTGACGTAGCTTTGAAAAATAACCTTTCCGTAACCACCTGAAGAATACTTTGTAATAGTAGGATTAATTGTAATACACAGATAATAACAGTTCTATCTATTTAGAGGTTTTAAGATAATGTACCTTGAATAGAATTCAGCTTTTCCAAGTACCTCTCTCTGGAACAGAACCCATAGTTGCTATTAGAAAAAATAATAATGTACTGTCAGTGGGTGTTAGGTACTTTTAAGCTGTGCAAAGAAAGCCTTAAGAAGTGTGGATTCAGATAAGCTTGAACTTAATGAAATGGAATTGCTTAAAAAAAAAAAAAAAGAAAATCAACTTTGGGTAAAGTACTTTTTCTGCGTTAAGATTTTTCAGATTGATCCTTTAGTAGCAGTTATTCAAAGTAAATAAAAATAAATTTTTATCATAAAGACTGTTTTCGTATGCAAAAAATATAAATTCTTAAAGTGATGTATAGACAGGGGAGCTGAACTTTTAAATTGACTGTTGCCTAGCACTAACAACTTTTGCATATGAATCAGTTTTCTCTACAAATGGAGATGTCTTATATGAGGAAATAATGCTTAAAATTGGGGGAGTACCTTATGAAGATGTTTTCTACTTTGTGTGGCCTTTCCTGTTCTTGAGTGCAATTGCCATTTTTCTTTATAGAAAAAAAGGAAGACAGTAGCTGCAACTGATGAGGGCACTGAAGCAGAAATGGAAGATGTAGGAAGTCCACAAAAAAAGAAACCTACTTCTTCTAGTAAGTCAAAAGAAGTGCTCATAGGCACTTGTGCTATTTGTCTCTAGCAGTTGAAATGCTTTTTTCTTTCGTATTTTCTTTTTAGATTAGCTATAATAAAACTGAGATATGCAAACTTTCTACGTGTATATTCTCTCTAGGTATATGCTACATAAAGCTGGTAGAAATGTTCAGTTGATAAAAGTTAGTGGTTGCACCCTGTCCCTTTCACCATCATTCACCATTTTTATTTTTCTCCTCTCGTTTTGTCCAATTTGATGTCAGAAAATGTCGACTCCTCAAGACCTCTTCATCACAGTATGTTACAATCAGAGGCTAGCAGCAGCCACTTACAAGAGTGAGTGTGTTTAAAGTCAAGGAAAGGATTAGCTATAAGGATAGACCATACTGAAGTTAGGTTTTTAAGTAATTTGGTACAAGTAGTATAGCCGGCAGTGTTTTTTGGGGGGGAAAAAAAAAAAAAACCATAAACAGGTGAAGTAGGTTTAAGATCTTGCAAATCCAAGATCAGAATACTTCAGTAGATCTGTACAGGATAAGCTTGTGTTAAGTGTCTGGTCAAACTGTTCCTTGCTCTAGCCTAGTAGCTCCTTCGTGTACATGAGAACTGAATTCAATTAATTACAAAAATATTTATTCTAGAGACTTTTGCTTCAGACTTTAAGTAAAAGGCCAGATGTTATATATGGTCAAATAGTCTAAAAATAATAAAACAATAGCACTCAAACACTAAATTCTACCTCAAAACAGATCTGCCTGTTTAAAAAAGGTGTGAAGTAGTAGTATGGCAGGATGGGAAAATGTTTCTAATGTTTATATTTAAAACAAAAAAAAAACCATATTAGTGAATTAAGGATTGACCCTAGTGTATTTAACCAATCAGTATGGTGCAAAGGATAAGTAAGTGACTGTCATTCCGGAAGGATACACTATTCTGTTCATTTTCAGCTGTAAACATTATAGAATTCTGATCATTGAAGTCAATGATTTATGTCTCTCTCATTCTGATGCCTTTTGAGTTGTTGACTTCAGTATATTACAAATTTTTTAGTCTGTCAGTGGCTGAAAAATGATAATTAGCTAGATTATATTTTCTTTGAAAGAACTTTTTTTTTATACTGACTTGTATTCTTAATTTATTTTATAGCAAAATATTTAAAAGTATAGCTGACTGCTTACTGGTTACTATTTGATGTACATGAACATTTTATATATATATATTTTTTTTTTTTTTTTTTTGCATCCCTCTGGAATTGTGTATTGAGACTCTCATAGACTGAGATAAGAGAGAGCTTGAGAAATCGCAGTCCAAGTAGTAGCAGCAGCTCTTTGTAAAAGCTAAGTTTTTTCAGACTAATTAAATGTGTTTGGTAGGCTATATATTTTTAACATTCAGCAGTTAAAATGAGTGATGGACATGAACTTGAATTTAAACCTTCCCTTGTCAATTTAATAGAGTTATAGATGAAGTGATTCTAATTTCACCTTTTTGTACTACCCAATTTAGTGAATACCAAATGGGGTGAATACCAAACGTTTTGGGGTGAAAAGTGATGTGTGTACTTATGCACTGCCTTCTCTTCAACTTTGGAATTAAAAATGTTACCACTTACTATATGTTTCTTAAATCTGCGTAGGCGAAAGAGGCAACTCTTTTTCTCATCTTATGCTTTTGATAAATTGAAAATAATTGATTGTTATAGAAATATTTCAAACTGTTTTGCAGTCTGATTTTATGTTACCAAGGACTTTTCTCCCTTATGTGATTAGTTCTGTAATTAAAAGAATGTTTACTATCCATTAAAATGTATAATTTATTGATGAGTCTTAATTCTTGTAGAAATTGAAGTTTAGTCATACAAAAACATTCTGCAAGTTCTTGAAATAGTATTTTATTGGTTTCCAATATGAGTATGAACATGGCTGAACAGGATCTACTCTTCAGGTGGTCAAACAATATTTCAGAAGTATGTGGAGTTAAAACAGTGGTAAGAAGAATGATGCAGTTCTTACTGTTCAACTGATTAGCATTAACTGGGTCCTACTATGCAGTTTGTCCTATCCAGCCAGCAGATAGCATGCCAAAAAGATCCTGATCAGTTGTGCAGGAGCTGGAGTACACAAAGGTGGTCGGTGGCTGTAGAGACTGCCAGTAAAGAAATCTGTTGCTGCTGAGATTAGGGAGCCACCAAGATTGCTGGAGGAGGAAGAAAGAATCCAGCCTATATAGGACATTCTGAATTTTGTGCCACTGCTTCCTCCTTCCCTCTGTTCCCTCTGTTCCTCTGTTTTAAGAGTGGTCGCTCAGATGAGTACAGAAAAGGCCATCTCTTTCAACCATGTGAGCCATCAGCCTTTCTAGAACTGGCAAGCAAGAGCGTTAGAATCTTCTTTTTAGAAACAGTGTCTCAGGAAACCCACCAGAAATAAACTCTTTTACTTCCAAAATTAGATACACAAAATTCTATGGCATTCTTAAATTTGTTTTTTTGGATTTAAATTAGCAGGTTATGATCAATTTCCCCTTTTTTCTGTGATAATGGCAACTCATATGCTTTCCTGAAAGCTGGAATTTTAAGATGTATACTTTTTCAAGATGAATGATGCTGAAGTAATCTATTAGTCATTTTCTTTCCATCAGGAAAAATGTTGTCAGAAGAGGTGATTTCTACTTAAAAGTTTCTGTCCCATTCTTTTATAGCTCCATACTGAAAACAGTTTCAGTATTTACCTGCCTTCATGTATGACAGTGAAATACAAAGTTTTAATCATGATGCTTTTACAGCAAAAAACGGTGTATTGCCGTAATTCGGTAACCATGTCCAGCAGTCCTTCTGCAGAAGTACACTTAGTAATTTTAATAGAGCTAATACACCTCTTTTAAATCGGTTTGTATGGAATAGGTAGCTAGGATAGGGAACTTCTGTGAAAATGGTATGATTGCTGGAAAAATAAAAGTTGCATCAAAATTTTTAAGCAATGTTAGGTTCAAAGCTACCGGTGGGGTTCAAAGCTATTAGTACTGGGAGCTTTCTTTAATTTTGGATTTGATGAAGGTTGGGCTGCATCAAATATTTGATATGGCCCAGTGTTCATCAGTCCCCAATTTCTCTCATATATATGTATTTTATATGTGTATGTATACACACACACACACACACACACACACACACACACACACACATATACACATGCAAACATTTTTAAACAATTTTGGGAATTAATAATTTGCTCAATGTAGACCAAACACTGTCTGTTGTAACATAGATATGACAATGCAAGTTCCCTGTGAAAATGTCTTCGATTTGGTAATAGTGAATATTTTTAGGGTAGGAATTGTGCATCTATATTTGTCTATTGCATCTAAAACAGTGAGGCCTTAACTGAAGTCTTTAGGTGCTCTTCTGATATAAGAGATGACAACCCTGTGAACGGCTCTGGTATGAAAACGGTTATGCTGATGGATTGATTAGAAAGAATCCAAGCGCAGAGATTTGACTAAGAACTACTATTATTAATAGGAACTTAGTTTTACATTTATTTCTGTTGTGTGGCTGTGGCTTTGCATAAATCAGGTTCTGGAGTATAATCTTGGAAATCTTTAGTTGAGATTTTTTCCTTTATTCAAGGAAGATTTTTTTACTTAATGTTAGATTAAATTTACACTTAGTTTAGTTTTTATGTATGGAGAATTACTGGCCTTGTCCTCATGCTTTAGAAGAATGCAAATCATAGGGTTCTCTTGAACTTGTTCATGGCACCACTTGCTTTCTAATCCCCACCCATGCTCACATTATGGATATATTTTTATCTCTTAATTTTGTACTCTAGTATAAATATTTTAACAAAGCCTGTACTGGTCAGGATATTTTTAATTGTCTGTTATTCTTTTATTCCTTCTTGTGAAGGCCTTGGTACTGACTAGTATTGGTGAAAAACTCCAGAAGTAAATGAATATTAGTCTAAAACATCATATCAGTTTCTGTGACTAGTTACCAAAAGATCTGTCCTATGCAGCACTGTTCTTAGCCTTCCCTTACCCCTCAGAACTGTTGCAAGTTGAATGTTCTAGTATAGGAGTTATCTGATTTTTGAAGGTAAAGGCATGCACTGCTAAGTTATATCTAAAAATTGACAGGAAGCTGCATGATTTTAGAACAGAAATACTGCTCATTGTTGTCAGAAATACTGACAAATGGGCTTCTGTATTTTGCACTAACTATATTTAAACATGATATGAAATGATCTGCCTTTTTATGGTCTGCTCCAAAATGGTTTGATGATTTTGAAAAGCTGTTTAAAGTGGAAAGGTGTTGTAGGTGGTGATTTTAAGTAGAAAGACCTTTAAGTGTTATAGGTAGGAAGGTTAAAATAAATTAAGTATATATAAAAATGAAAACATCTTTGCAGTTCTTCCTGAGTAATAGTTTTCATGGACAATTTGAAAGTGATAAAGAAATTCACTGAGAAGTGCCTTGAACATGTACTGATGATAATAAAAAGCCAATCTTTAATTTTGAATATGTAAAGCATGGGAGTGTTCCTGTTTACTCTTGTATCTGTTTGGAAGACAGTTTTCTACTTAGTCTTCCTTTATATTTTGTTATTTCCATACAACCTCTTCAGACCACTCTTATCACTAAAACACATTTAAAATATAAAGCACACTTCTCTGTTACACTTCAGGGAATTTTTTGTTTGCTGCTAATGAAAAGTAATAATATCAACTTTTTTTTCCCTATGATGTGATTCTGTGACAAAATGTAGAACAAAAAACTTTTGAGGAAGATGACTCTACATGAGGAGCTAAATCATTTAAAAATAAAACAATGATATATTTTTTGTTTGTTGTTTTTCTGTGGTCTGAAGATGTATTGCAGTATGCTGAGTAAGTGTTACAATTCAAACGTAGATCTGAAATTTTTGGAAGTGAAATATGTCTCTAAAAGGAGAAAAATATCGTACTGCACTGACTCACATTTTGACTCTAACCTTTTTCA